GAAAAAGAAAAAAAAAAACAAGCAGAAAAACAAAAGGAAAAAAAAAGAAAGACAAAAAAACAAGAAAAAAAAACGAACTTCAGCAACCCCTAAAAACTAACAGGTTCTCTAGCTCACGCCCTTTTTCTCCTTCGCCTCACTCAAGAACTTTGTAGGGATTAAGAATTCCATTCGGGTCCATCATCCGCTTCAGGCTTCGCATCAACGCGATGACCTCCGGCTTACGCGAAAGACCGAGGTAGGCCTTCTTCTGCACTCCGACTCCGTGCTCTGCCGAAATGGAGCCACTGTGGGCCGCGCAAAACTCATAAACGGACGGGAACAGCACGGCGTCGAGCGCGTCACCTTGCCTTCGTGTTCGATCCACAACGTTGAGGTGAATATTGCCGTCCCCGAAGTGGCCGTAGCCGACAACCAGAACCTCGTCGGGGTCAAACTTGCCACCCTTGTAGACCAGCGCTCGGACGTGCTCCACGACGTCGTAAAACTTGTCGAGCGGGAAACTGACGTCAAACTTGTACGTGAGTCCGGCGCTGGCAAGTCGCACGGGGGTTTCCTCACGTACCTTCCACAGCTGCGCCGTCTGTGCCAGCGACTGTGAGAGGATGGGCTCGAAGGCGCTTCCCTGAACACCCTTTGAGGCACAGAGAGGGCTGTTCTCCGCCGCCTCCACAAAGCGAGCGAGCTTTTCCAGGTCATGCTCTGCGTCACTGCCGTTTGTCTCAACTAGAACGCAGAAGTAGGCGCTGGTAAAGTCTCGGCCGGCGCGGAACGCCTCGCTCTTGCTGGTTTGGGTGAAGGGCAACTCCTGCTCCGGGGTGGGGATGAGGGACTCTCCGTCGATGACTTCAAAGGCCGAGAGACACTCTGCGAGGTGCTCCTGCGCCAAACGGTAGAGCTCCAGCACAGCCTGGAAGGTTGAGAGGCGGAACAAGGCCAGCTGAGCGGAGCGCGGCATGGGGTAGAGCTTCAAGCTGACACGAGTCACCACCCCAAGTGTGCCCTCGCTCCCAATAAAAAGGTGCTTCAGGTCATACCCCGCGTTATCCTTTCGAAGGGTGGACATCATGTCCAGCACTTCGCCTTGCGCCGTCACCACCTCCAGCCCCAGTACGTTTGAGTGCATAGATCCGTAGCGGGCAAAGTGTATACCACCGGCGTTTGTGCTTACGACGCCACCAATCTCCGCGCTCCCTTTTGATCCCATTGTAATAGGCACGAGAAGATTATGGGCCTTGGCCGCTTCCTGCAAATGCTCAAGGATGACGCCCGCCTCCGCCTCGGTGGACATGGTCTCTGCCGAGATAACAGGCTCGGCGTTCATTTCCTGCAGGCTCAGGATGACCTCGTCATGGAGTGCAGAGGAACCGTACACCAACCCGGTGTTCCCGCCCTGTGGGACAATCCCAATTCTCTCAGCCTGACAGTAGCGTACGATGGCCGCCACTTGCTGCGTCGAGGTGGGCAGCAGCACCGCGGGGCATTCCCCCTCCACCTGACCCAACCAATCCCTATTGAAGGCGGCAACTCTGTCGGGGCCTGTCAGCAGCCTCCCTGGGGCTTGCTCCTTTTTACATGTCCCCGCAAGCACGTTGTTGAAGTATTCCAGGTGCTTTTCGTTGAGCTTTGCGAATAGGGGATTCCGGCTGGCGTAGTGCGCAGCCCGCTGACGCGCCGCAGAGAGAACACTCATCACTAACGAGAGAAGGCAGGGGAAAAAAGGTGGAGGGGAAAAACAGATAATAAAAGCAAAAACAATAATTAGAGTAGGAACAATGAATGCACGCCCACCCCAACAGTTTATTCCTCCTTCCTTGATGCATTTGTTTATTCCTGCTTCTCTGCATTGACCCCTCAACCGACCCCCCCGTTCACCGTTCAAACGGTGTGGAGGCACTTTAGGTCGCCCCGCGGCAGCACGTCGGCGCCCTCGTGCGTTTGCGGCGCCTCCCCCGCCCCTGCGCCTTCGCACCGCAAATCGCGCAGCGTGTGCGTTGGGGCCACGCCGCCTTGCTCCCCGCGCAACGGCGGCAGCAGCGTCGTCGCGGCGAAAGCACCGTCGCCCGCCGCAAAGGCGGAGGCGCGCGGCGGGGCGTCCGCCCCCCCAGCGGCGTCGCACAACAGGGCGGAGGTCGCAAACCCCACCAGAACGTCCCTTCTG